ATTCTGCATATTGCAACTAAGAATCTGCGTGCTGAGACAAAGACCCTGTGAACAGCAACTAAGACCCAACACAACCAAAATAAGTATTTTAAAAAGAGAGAGAGAGGAATGCATTTGCTTCTGCCAGGTACCTGGAGGCACTCCCAACCAGAGACCACTTTAAACTGACTTGTAGCGTGAAAATATCCCAGTCCACAGGCAGCATGAATTCTCCACCCAAACAATACTGAGAGCCAGCTACACTTACCTATCACCAGGGACACTTTCTGTCCCCACCTCCTACCTCCCCTTGCATCCAAAACCAAAGCTAAGAAGATGAGCTGTGGGATTGGGTCCCTCTTTGAATCATGGTGTCATCTGTCTGACTGAAGGAGGAAGGGGCTTTGATTTGACTTCCCACTTTGTAGGACCCTTAGGTTTACTGCCCACCCACATGTGACCCCTGAAACAGTAGTTCTAGGCCACCCACAAAAGCAGCAGGATAAAAAGATGAGACACAGAAGTGTTTATGAACTGGCTCCTGCATGAAGTCCCAGTCCTGGGAGCCACTCACAGACTCTATGGCTTTCAACCAGCCTCAAGGTCCTTTTCCATCTATATCAGAATCATTACGGCAAGGATGGGAGAAGGACACAAGGACGATGACCCAGATGCAAGCAGAGGAAGTGTGGCATGGCAGAAGGCTCAGCTGCTCCTTTTCAGCCCTCAGGCAGTCCAAGAGGCTTTGAGTCATCTCTGAGCTAGTCGAGTTCCAAGGCAGCTGTGACCCTCGCCCTTGAATGGGAAAGAACCAGAACAGGCCAAGCACAAAGGCGTCCCCACAAATGCACTTCTCACTGGGGCAGCAGCAGAGCTGAGCACGGCTCCTTACTATTCTTTGCTCAAAGGGAGATGCCGTCTGTCCTTGCCTGCATTTCGGCGCCTCTTTCGACTCAAGAAGCTCTCTAGCTTCTTGCTTCGTTTCAGCTCCTTAAACTTCTCAGCCAGGACCAACTGGCGCTGCTCAGCTAGAGGACAAGGAGAAAGAAAGTCAGTAAGCAAAGGATGAAGTCTCCCTGCCTCCCTTTGCCCCAGGTCAGTAACTCTCAACCACTACACAGTGTGACTCGTCAGGAGTTCACTGGAGTGTAAGAGCAAGCTGACTTCTACAACTCCACTCTTGCTCAATTCAACCATGAGCTCCTTCTTTGTGCCCAACCCAACATATGAGGGGGTGTGGCAAAGATAAGTGACACTCCCTGCCCACAGTCTCATTAGGGATATGAGAATGGTTATAAACAACTCCCTACTACTATTATTTCTGAGTGAGTGAGTGAAGTTGCTCAGTGGTGTCCGACTCTTTGTGACCCCGTGGACTGTAGCCCACCAGGCTCCTCCGTCTATGGGGTTCTCCAGGCAAGAATACTGGAGTGTGTTGCCATTTCCTTCTCCAGGGGTACTTTTCTCTAAATTACCATGGGATCTGGCCTTCATACCTCCCTTAGGCAGCTCCAGGACCCCCAACACAGTATCCGGTCACTATGGCCACCCAATCTCTGTCCCTGTGACTCGTGGGTCATAGCTGTGCCCCACTCACATTTCTTCAGGAAGTATGGCCGATGGCCTTGCTGGGCCTGAGCCCGCCGCTCCTGCTTCAAGGCCAGGCGTAGCTCCTGCTGCCGCTTTCGCTCCTTCTGTGCCATTTCTTGCTGCTCCTGAGGAGCCGAGATGAGAGGGATGAGACAGGTGAATAGCAGGGACTGTGAATCACCTCCCACCCCATACTCTGACCTTCTCACCATTCGCTGAAGCAGCTGCTGTAGTTTCTCATGCTCCTCCCCTGAACGGCGCTTCTTCAGCTGCTTTTTCACCAGCTCCACATTGGAAAATGAGTATGATGGTTAGCATTCTGTACATGTTAGCTGAAACTTTGTGCCAAGCATCATTCTAAGAGGTTCACATACATTAACTCACATTAACACTATGAAATGGAACTATTAGCTTTTTGTGATAAGGAAACTGAAGTGAAGAGGTTAAGTATCTTGCCAGTGATCACACAACTAGTAAACTGATTCGCCCTGCTCCCCTCTGCCTCTCTAACCTGTGCTCCAGTCCCTCCTGGAATCCTCACAAACCATGCTGCCGCTAAGTCACTTCAGTCGTGTCTGACTCTGTGTGACCCCATAGACGGCAGCCCACCAGGCTCCCCCGTCCCTGGGATTCTCCAGGCAAGAATACTGGAGTGGGTTGCCATTTCTTTTTCCAAACCATGCTACTCACCTCTTTCTCTCTGGCTCGGATGTCATCTAGGAATTGATATGTTTTATCGAACACCTCAGGATTATACTCCCCTGACAGATCATCAAAGCGGGGGTCCCGGGCTACCTTTGCAGAGAACAGAGAATGTAAGAGAACAGTTCCGCCTCCTTTCGCTGAGAAAATGCTCACTGCCTCCTCCTCACCTTCTTACTGACGGGGACAACCTGTCGCAAAAATGGCACCCGGACCTTGGCTGACATCTCCAGAGGCCTGTGGAGAAAGTGAAGGACAGCTCAAGGGAACTCCAGTCTCGTTAAAGGCCCCCACCTGCCACCTGAGAAAGCAGACACCTATTCAAGTAGGTGTCTTTCCCTCCAACTCCCAGGAAAGGCCTTGCTCCTCACCTGTGCTTATCTGCAACACATGTTTTTGGGACAGGTGGTCTAGAACTCTGCTTCTTAGTGCTGCTTCCTGTTACCAATTGTTTGTAGGCTTTAGTCCCCACTTGACTCTGCAATTCTAACAGCTCCTCAAATGACATGTGAGACGTGTCTGTGAAAGGAAAGTGTGGGTTGGGGGGAGGGGGGACTGCAACTCAGCTCAGCATCTGCCACTGCTGCAGAGACATGGTCCCATCCTCTTTCCTTAGGTAAGTGACCCTTTCCAATATCCCCTTCAGACCAATTGCTGCAGGCTCCAGGCAACACAGGTTGTAATGGTGCTCCACTGACACCTAACGCCCCAACTGTTCCAGCTATCTGGAGCCTCACCTTGCTAAAGAAGGTGTACATATAAGGCTGGAGATGGACTAACCCACAGTCTTTTCTTTTTCCCCTTCTCTTTTAAATTTCTCTTTCACAGGTTTTCCCCACAAAGACCTTTGTCTCCGTTCGTTGCTCAGCTACCCTTATTCTGGTTCAGTTCACGCTCAACATCTCACCTCACTTAGTGCTCTAGCCTCCTTACTGCTCGCCCAACCACCAGTCTCACTGCTTTCAAAGCTATATCTCTCAACTTCAGCCTCAGTTGTTGGTGTTCAGCCGCTAAGTCATGTCTGACTCTTTACAACCCCATGGATTGCAGCACGCCAGGCCTCCCTGTCTCTGTTTCTCTGCGTTTGCCCAAGTTCATGTTCACTGACCATGGGAGAGGTGCCTAAAAGGCAAACCTGGGGTAGGGGGTAAATTGGCAGACTGCGATTGACATATAACTATTATATAGAAAAGATAATAAGAACCAACTGTATAGCACAGGGAACTCTAGTCAATACTCTGTAATGACCCATACAGAAAACAATTCAAAAACATCGATATATGTATAACTGATTCACTTTGCTGTACCCCTAAAACACTGTATTGTAAATCAACTATACTCCAATAAAAACTGTTTTTTTTAAAAGGAAACTACTAGACACACGAAGTTTTCACTTTAAATTCTTTAAATAATGTTTTCTTTCCAAAAAAGAGGCAAATTGATCTTATCACTCCCACCTCATTTCCACATATATAATTTTTAGATCACTTATTCCAGACTCAGTACTGCCCAACGGCTTCCATCTTACTCAAGACTAAAAGCTCTAGGCTTTGTAATAGGCCAAAGATCCCATATGACCTATTCCATTTTGTCTCTGATCTCTTCTACTATCTCTTTCCTATTCCTCTCCAGTCAACTGGCCTCCAAGCAGTTCCTAAGCAAAAAGGTATACTCCCATCTCAGTTCCTCTGCACCTGACTTTGCCTCTGCCTGTAACACTTTCACTAGCTATATTGCTTGCTCCCTCACCTTCTTCGCAGGGTTTCTCAAATGCCACCTATTCAGTGAGGCCTTCTGTGACTACTTAAAACCATAACCCCTCCCGTTTTCTCTTCAAAGCTCTAATCACCTTTCTCAAAAACTGTAGTATACTAAATTCACATACCATAAAATTTATCCTTTAAAAATATGCAATTTCTTATGTTTCCGTGCTTTTTAACCCCCCAAAATGTAAGCTTCATGAGAGTAGTTTTGGGCTGCTTTATTCACTGTTGTATCTCCAGCATCTAGAATAGATGTTCAATAATGTCGGCGAAATTTGTTGAATCTTCACCTACTAAGCCTTCCCCAATAATCAATGCCCTTCTGACTCTGCTTTGGAACGTAAGTTTTCTCCCTGCGAAAAACCCTCTGTGCCCTTTAAAAAACTACTAAGTATCCTCTCTTACTCCCCACTTTCTAGTGCGTTGGGGGGCGTTCCTGGTGTCTGCGTCTTTCAGACAACTTGGCAGTCTCAGGGTGAGCCCGCATGCGGAGCCCCTCTCCCGGCCCTCAGCGCTGCCCCCCGTCCCGGCACCGTGCCCTCACCATTCTGCAGGCCCCCGTCGTCCTCTCCGCCATCCTGAGCCCTGCTGGGAAACCCTGCAGCCGCCCCGCCACGGGAACTTGCTCTCGGCATGGCTTGAGAGTCGTATCGAAGACTAATGTCGTTACTTCCGCCACGGAGGCTCCCGCCCCGCCCCTTCCGGAAGGCTTGGTGTCAGCAGCGCAGATCCCGCCCACCACTGGGCGGGGCGAGCGGGTTGCTGGTGGGCGGCTGGGGTAACCTCCCTACGCGGAAAACGGCGACCCATAGACAAAACGTCGCGCTACACTCCACACCGGAGAAATTCCGGCCAGGTCGTGGTGGTATTTGGTTTCCTAATGCTCTGGGCTGAGAAGCCAGAGCCTCAGCACCCTGCCCCCACTGTAAACTCCTGCCATCCCTGTCGTATTCCACAAAAAAGAGATCACACGTTTGGAGATTTTTAATTCATTTGTATAAAATTTGAGCTGGCTGAGAGTGTCAGGGTACAGCAACAGCTCAAGGAAGGATGGGATTATCTGCTGGTCCTCGCCTCCCCAGGTCAGGGAGAAGGAGACTTCATGCCAACAGCTGCAAATCCTTTCAGCTCGCAATCAATGCCCATGGCTCAAGCAGAGGGGAACAGGTGGAAAAGGGAGTGGGGAGGGGAAGCTCCTGAGGCTCACACACTGCTTGCTTCTCCCTCCTTCCCGTTCCCGTCACTTCCCAGCAGCCTGTGGCTGACCTGGGGCAGAGCAGAACCCAGGAGCAGTTGGAGGGAGGTGAACGGGACAGAGCACCAAGGGGAAGGGGCCCTGGGCCCAAGGAGGAAGGGACCTAGCCCTTCCTGCTACAGATCCCCACTAAGTTCACAGCACAGAAAACACCTCTAGTCCAACAACTCCACGCGGAGGTATACCAAGTCCAAGGTTCAAAGGGGCAGACGGGGGAAGAGATGGGCAGGGGCACTGACGACAACAGCAGGCTCAGGAAGGAAGGCGGCAGAGACATCCTCCTACCCATGGGAGGAGACGATGGGGCGACTGATATTGCTGTTGGTGGTCATGGCATTCAGCTCCCACCTGCAAGGCCAAAATTGACAGGCAGAAAGTAGAGAAGCGGGAGCCTCCATCCCCAAATCCAGAATTGCTCAAACAGAGCAATGAACACACCAATCCCTTCAACTTTCTAAAGTTCAGCCACCCACAGCCACCTCTTCCTTACAGCCCTGTTAGGTTTAACAGACAGGTCCCACCCACCACCAAATCCACTACCACCCACTCATCCACCTGCAAGCTCCTGTGGACTTCCTGTTTTTGTTTATATACCGATAGTCTTATGCCCAACACCTGGAGAAAACCATCTATGTATACGCCTCAATGAAACTTCCCAACCTACCTTTCCTCCTCTGCTCAGATCCAACCAGGAAGCCCCTCCTCCCACCAGGAATGCCAGGTTTTGTTCTCAACTCCCATCCTCATAATGTCCCCCCTCCACCCATCCCACCATATTAAGATTCAGTTCCTCTCTTTTTGAAAATGGTCATTCTACAAAATTTCACCAAGTACCTCCTTAAACCAAGGCTGCAGTCTACTTGGTATTTGGCACTTGAGACATGTGTCAATCCTGGGCCAACCCGGGACCCACCTGTTGAGCCTTGTATCCTCTATCACCTGAGTATCAATACTGAATACTGAACACACAGAACCTCAGAAAGAGGAGTTAAGCTGAACTGATACAAGAAGAGGAAAGTGTCACAGAATGATCCAGAAGAGTACAATTATATACAAAGTAGCTTCCAGTGCTTGATTTAGACCTAAGAATAGAATTCAAAGCAGCTAGGAAAAAACCGCCCTTATTTCTGGAATTGATGTGATCCAGGGACTCCTAAACTTGTCTTTTTTCTCAGGTTCTAAGATTTAATCAAACTTTTTCAGCACTTTAACAGAAATAATTGTATAAGCTCAGGTCTTAGGAAGTGATGCTTCTGAGCTTGGTTTGAAAACTGGATTTTTTTTCGCTATAATTTATTCAGCTGACAGTTTTATTATATTTCCTTCCAGCACCCTCTGCACAAGTAGACTACAGAACAAAATCTTCTCTCTCCTCCACACTTAGACTGAGTCAATCAGGTCATGCTTGTGCTGCCCACTCACCCTCAACTAATCCCTCCCTTCCAACCATTCACTGTACCTGATGTCATGGGGCAAACAGGACTGGTCCAGGTTGTACTGAATCACAGCTAGTTTGCACAGAGTCTTCAGACTAGGGCCTTTAAAGGGGGAATTATGGGAGAGGGAGATGGTCAAAGCCAAGGAAAGGGTCCAGTCCTGGATATCACCATCCAAAGACAGGGACCCTGATGGCAGAAGCACTGTGGGAATAAGTGTACTTACTGAAGTCCAAAATGTGTAAGTCAGAATGATCTATGAGGTCGAATTCATCCCCCAGACCTTCCTCTGGAGACGGACTGTAGGATCAAAAAGAGAAATGAAGGACGGAGCAAAGGCTACCCACGAGACTCTCTTGCTCAAATGTCTCCCGTGGGAGTCATTTGACTCCTAAGGGCTCTGGCCCTTCCTGGAGCCCTCCCTTCTCTCCTCCTGACCTGGTGCCCCCAAAGAGGACAATCTTGTCACCAACAATACAGCAGCACTGGCGCCGGCGGGGACATGGCCCCTTGCCCTTCGGTTCAATCTTCTTCCAGGTAAACGACACTGAAGAGAAGTTTAAATGGAGGTTCAGTGCCTGCTGGTCCAGATATCCTCCCCACTCCACCCCTCACCTACTCAGGATTATTCTTTTCTTTTGCACCCCACCTCCATGGCACCCTGTTCCTTCCCCCTTAAAGGCAGTGCTCTTTACCAGGATTAAACTTCCAGAGGTCATGGAAGTGCCGGTTCAGCCTTGCGTTATAGCCACCAAAAATGTACAGCTCCCCGTTGTAGCCAACTGGGAGGAGAGAGATGTGTCAATGGTGTGGGAGCAATGCGGGGGGACAGGACTCACAGGGACCCAACAGACACTCACAGGCTGAGTGGCTCCGGCGTCCCTCGGGTAGCACTGGGGTGGGTGGACAGTCCAGCCAGGCTTCAGTCCTCGTGTCAAAGACACGGATGCGGTTGCAGTAAATCTCATTGTTGGAATGGAATGGCCCAAAACGGTCGGCCCGGCCCCCAAAGACATACATGTGACTGCCCAGCATTGTGGCCGAGTGGAAGTCCCTCCAGCGTGCAGGGTTGCCCTGGGCAGGAGCAAAGATGGCACGGAGAAGGGGTCAGCTTTCAGTTTGAGCTCCCTATGGTTTCTTAAATTGAGGATGGGTGTCTGGAAGAGAGGAAAAAGGGCAGACCTTTGTACAGATCAGGGTCCACGTCATGGTGCTGGTATCCAGCTTGTGGATGTCATTTGAAAAGCAGTCAGCCTGATAGGGATGAGAAAGGAAGTGAAGGAAGGAATAAAAGAGAGGGGCAGGGGTCACTCCCCCACCCTCCAAGCCCCTCACCTCAGAACCTGCAAGCAAACCAAAGCCTCTCATTCCACCACCTTCAATTCCCCTTCCTCCTCCTCATCCCCACCCTAAACCTCTGGTTGCTTCCAGACCTACCAGCTGCTCGTAGCCCCCAAAAATGTACATGGTCTTGCCCAGGACACAAGCCGAATGTCCATCCCGGGCCCCAGGAACCGTTCCTGACACTCGGGGTGTTGACCACTTGTGAGTATCTGAAGAGGGCAGAGGGTGGGCCCGGTAAGCAAGCTGACCCTCCCTCCTAGACTCAGGGGCACCTCACTCCCAGCCCCCTCGGCACACACCCTTCCCAGGCCCCCTGAGGCACCATCTGGCAGAACACAACCACTCTTGAGACCCATACTCACTGACATCAAAGGCGTAGAGCACATTGCAGGCCCCTTCGGTGTCATTCCGCCCGCCCCAAAGGAAGACTGTGTCATCGATGAGGACGGTTGAGTGTCCATACCGCATGTAGGGTACCACGGGAGCCTGCCCGCGGGCAGCGGGCCTCACCGGGGGCAGCTTTGTCCAACGCAAGGACACTGCGGGCACAGCTCTGCTCAGCCCTGGGAGCCTCCCTTTAGGCAGTCCACCTGTTCCCCAACCGCGTTGGTTTCCCCCACCCTCTTTGGCCATGGGGAACCACCACTGAACCTCACTCAGCCACCCCCTGCACTCCCTGATGTGGGGCACCCACCGCCCACTGCCCTCCCTGATACGGGCACCCAGGGATGGTCCCCGAGTTTGCTTACCGGCGTTGAAGATGTGCACGTCAATCTGGCGCAGCGTCTCATAGTCTTCGCCTGAGCAGTAGCCCCCGAAGGAGTATACCCGGTGCCCCACGGCCACAGCGGCATGGTTCACCCTGCGGGGCCCGCCCTCCAGGTGCACTGTCCACCGTAACATCCCCTGGGCCTCCGGTTACAGCAACATGCCCCCCCGGCACGGCCTGCTGCCTCCGCTACCTGCACACAAGTTGGGGCCACGAGCTCCTCAGGCGGGGCCTTTGCCTGGCTCACCGTGACTCTGCCCCGGACTAGCCCTTGCCTGTAAGCGTCACCCTGGTGGCCCTCCCACACCACCCCTCCGCAGCTCAGGTGGCTGGCTCTGCCCCAGGGGAGCCGCCGAGGTCAGGGAGCTAGCCCTGGCCCTGTGTTCTCCAACAGCGAAGGGTGGGGCCGTTCTGACCTGCCTACCAGCTCAGACTGCTGAACTGGGGCTCAGCATGGTCGCCCCTCCCCACGGAGGCTGTACCCTGTTCCCTGGCCTGGCCCAAGCTCCGAGCCCTCTTCCCAGGTCAGTGAGTTCTCTTGTCTCCCTGGCCCTGCTCTGCTTACCGCCACCTCTCTAAGAATCTCTGTGCTCTGAGGTGGGGAGAGGGATCTCAAAATACTCAGAGCTATTAATAGCCCAGCCAGCCCCAGACTGTCCATTGAAAGCTGGCACGAGTGCCTCCACGCAGAAAAGCTTTTAGGCTTTTAGAGTGGAACGGTCCCTCGATCCAGGATGGGGTGGGATTGATCCAGGACAGGGACCTCCATGGATGGCTAGCCCCTCTTCGGGGGCGCTTGTCAAGCTGAGCAGTTGTCATCGGGGTCATCTAGGGCCCCTCACGGGCACGAGGAGTCCCTTTGACAGCTGTACCTGGTATCCTGCCAAGAACTTAAGCCAGAAAGGTATGTGTCTGCTGGGGACTGAGGCGTGGGGGTGGGGAGGAGGCGTCTTCTCCTCTTGCCATTTGCCCAACCTGCCCATTGTGATAGAGAACAAGCTGTTTCTAGCAGTTCTTCTCCAATTTGGGTCCCTGAAACAGGAGAGGGGTAGGGGTGTGCAATGGAAAGGGAAAGGAAAGCAAAAATGCTCTTGGCCAGGACAAGAAAAAGACCCAGGCATGAGAAGTCATGGTCTCTTAAAGACAACCCGCCAACCTAGTGATAATGGGTACATCTGAAGGCTCTATCAGGCAGGTCTCCTAGAGCTGGTACTGCCTTCACTGGCAGGCACCTGATAGGTTTGGGCGGATCATCTGCTCCCTGTTCAAGAAGCCCTGGCAGAGGGAAGCGCCAGGCAGAACCTCAGGCACCCAAAAAGCTCAAGTATGGCGGCCCCTCGCAAGAAAGACATGTGGGCTTCAGCTGGCTTGCCAGTCCTCCACCCTTACCCAACCTCCCTCAACCCCCAGCCCCACGCTTTAAATAGCTACTCTGCCAAACCTGAAATAGCCCCAGCAGGAAACCACTCTCACTTCATTACTCCTGTCCTCCATCCAAAAGCTCTTGGATCTGAGCTTAGGGGAACAGATAGGAAGGAGGTTGACGGGCTTAAGAATGGGAGACCTTCATCTTCCCTCATAGACTCCACCCTCCCCTTCAGCTAGATCAAGGTAGAGCATTCAGAGGGCAAGAGAGAAGCAATTCCGTGCAAAGGTGGAGGAAAAACCCCATGGCTTCTCCTCCAAAAAAAACAACTCAAGCTCAGGGAGAACAAGCCCCCAGGGTCTCAGAGGCTCCTCTTATTCCCGGTCTCTCCCATCCTCCATCACTGCCGCATTCTCAAGCATCTTCAATCCCCCTCACGAACCTGCCCTCCCCTCCTATTCTCGTGCAATTTTCACTCCCAGTTTCTGGCCCTTCTTGATCTCCTGAGAGCTCTGCATTTTTTTTCCCTTCTTCCTTCCCCTACAACTCCAAGCTTCACCGTGACAGCCCTTCATTTTTGCTCTTCCACTAAGGGGGAAAAAAAACCTAATATGCATTGACCCCTTTCCGCCTGAGATATTCCTCCCTGTATATGACGCTCTCCCTGTAGCCTTCCAGTCATCCCAACCTCCCCTCCCCCACAACGCCAGACACCCCCGCCCTTCTCTTCCATTATCCTCAGCCTCCCGGTTCCCTTCATAACCCGATCTTCTTCCCAGTTTCTTTCAGGGCCTCCTGCAGCTACCAGGTGTCCCCCACCGGTTCCCTCACCACCCTCCCCTAGCCTTTCTCTCCCCATTAACACTTTCCTTTCCCATCATCCCCCAGCTCCCTCCCAGCCCCCACCGCATCACTCTCAGGCCCCTCCCCCAAGGACCCCGCGCTAGGCAGGGGCGTCCCCAGCCCCTACAATTTTCTTTGTCCCTCAGCCCACCCCGGGCTACCTGCCAGGCCGGGCCGGGGCGGGGCCGCGGGTCCTCGCGCTGCCTGCAGCCTAGAACCCGTTGCGCGCCAACCGACGACTCCGTCCCCAACGAGATAAACACAGCCAGGCTGTGTCCTTCCGGCGGGCAGCTGGATGCGCACGTGCAGTCCGAGCTGACTGCTCGAAGCGTACCGGGACTTGTAGTCCACGGGATTCCGGTGGGCCTGGAGCTGCCGAAGAGTGGGCAGTGGCCGGAGGAGGTGGTGTGCAGATACGTGTCAAAGATTCCGGGCTTTACTGGGTAATGTAGTCCTGGGTCTGGGAGAAGGTGGTGGAGGCGGGGCAAGGGGCGGGCTCTTCGTCCAAGCTCCCGTCAATCACGAGCGTGGGGCGGGGCTGGAAGTCTGGGCACCCGCCCCTCCGCACGTCCTGCCCCGCCGGAAGTGAAGGTGCGGGTTCGGTCGCGGGCTCTGAGCGGGTAAGGCGCGCGGAAACACCACTGCGGAAGATCGGTGGGGCGGGTGGGGAACGCCGCAACTCGGGCCATTTGAAGGGAGCCCCAGGGGCCCGAAGGGCGTGTCAGGCGGTACAGAGGGGACGCCCTTGGAGGGGAGAGAAGGGGGCGGGTATGCCTAGTCCGAGGTGTCTTGTGTGGCGACCCGGAGTTCCTAAGTGGATTGGGGGGAGGGGACGTTCTCGAAGGGGTGTCTTTTGGGAGGTGGCATGGCCTCCGGTTGGGCTGCTATTTAAAAATTGGCAGAGAAAAAAAAAAAGAATTGGCAGAGAAAGGCGGGTGGGCCTCGATTAGGGATAAAAGTGGGTTTAGGAGGTGAGGCTAGCCCCTCAGGACAGGCTGGGTGGTATGGAGTGCAGGAAACGCGAGGCGTTTAAATGTTTGTGGACTTTAGCAGGAGACCACCAGGAGCTGGTTGAGAGGCTGAAGGTGGATTTCATTTCATCCAGTCCGTGTTCTCCTGCCTCCCTGTTCTTGCAGCCCCTGCCCGATGGCAGCAGTAGTTCTAGGGGGAGACACCATGGGTCCTGAACGCATCTTCCCCAATCAGACTGAGGAACTCGGGCCACATCAGGGCCCCACGGAAGGCACTGGGGATTGGAGCAGTGAGGAACCAGAGGAAGAACAAGAGGAAACAGGGGCAGGACCAGCTGGCTACTCCTACCAGCCTCTGAACCAAGATCCTGAACAAGAGGAGGTGGAACTAGCACCAGTGGGGGATGGAGAAGATGTAGTTGCTGATATCCAGGATCGGATCCAGGTATGTGAGGGAGGCATTGTTCCTGAGCAGGTGGAGCTGAAGTCCCTGAAGAACTGACCCTGAACTGTTTTCTCCTGTTATGCAGGCCCTGGGGCTTCATTTGCCGGACCCACCACTAGAAAGTGAGGACGAAGATGAGCAGGGAGCTACAGCATTGAACAGCCACAGCTCTATTCCCATGGACCCAGGTAAAAGAGATCATTCTTTTACTCTGGCATAATTATGGGAGAAGGGGACTGGTTAATGCCAATAGAGGGAAGTCTCGGAGGAACATCCTGCTCCTAAATGAATAGTTTGTAATCTAAGATTTTGTGGACTTCAGAATCCAGGTGAAATGCTATTCTTTCAGACTTGGAGGATGGGCACGCTTCCTTAGGAATAACCGTACAGATTCAATGACCTTACTAGTCCAGAATCTCTGAGTTAATTCAACGAATGGAGAGGGGAGCTGGTCCCATCGTTCCTACCCACTAACTGGTCTCTTGCCTGTGATTTCAGAACATGTAGAGCTGGTGAAAAGGACGATGGCTGGCATAAGCCTGCCTGCACCAGGGGTTCCTGCCTGGGCTCGTGAGATATCAGATGCCCAGTGGGAAGATGTGGTACAGAAGGCCCTCCAAGCCCGGCAGGCTGCCCCTGCCTGGAAGTGACCACCCTGAGAACTGCCGTAACTCCCTGCATTCCAGGCCAGAACCAGCACAGGACTGAACATACCCTGGTTGTCACTCCATCTCCATCCTCCCCGGCTCCCCTCCACATCAAGGCAAATCAGACTTCTTCTCAGAGACCCACTTTATTCAGTTCTGTACATATGGGGACATCGGCCCAAGCCCAACCCACCTTAGCATGTATCACTCTGTGGAGAATAAAGCACCCTATGTACACAGCCAAAAGCTGCACTGCCTGTGCCCTTGGAACCTGGGTCTGGCCCTCCCCAGCCCCTCACCCCTCCAGGGTACCTTAAAGGGACAAATGAGGGCCTGCCCAGCATCAACACAAACAAGGAAATAAATAGGTGTTGGGGGGAGCCATGCTTGGAGCACTGCTCCCTGCTTCCTTCTTCTTAGCTTTGGGGACCAACAGCACAGGAAAGCAGTCAGCCCCAGGGTGGTCCCTTCCATGTCAGTGATCCCAGGGTTGCTGCTCATCGGAGAGGGGCATAGGGTCGGGTGTCTGTTCATCCCCTTCTCTCGGTCCCTTTGGGCCCTCTATTCATCAGCTGTGGTCCAGTCTATGCTTTTCTCCTTTTGCCCTCCCACGCAGTCTCGGTCAGGCAGGGGGTAAGAGGAAATAATGCAGCCCCATCAGCCTGCACTCCTCTGGGGCTGGGGGCCTATTTGGGCCTTTGGGGGTTGGCTCCCCTCCGGCTAATTCACTCCAGAGGCCAGTGGGGCTTGACATAACTTTGGTGAGAATCGTCTCCTGCTGCCCCCTACAGGCTTGAAGGGGAGGGAGACGACGAGGGGGCACCTGGGCCTGAGGGGGAGAGGAGCACATTATTCCCATGTGTATTTCTCAGAGCAGCCTCAGGTAGCTGTGGGGTGAGGAGCAGGAGGGGGCCAGGCATCCCCATGTCATCATCTGAGCGCCAAGCACTGCCGTGCCCAGCCTGTCTACTAGGCGCAGGGAGGCATGAACACCTTTGGGGGAGAAGAGGGGCCACTCTGGGTGCCCCTGCTTCCAGGGCCACATCCCCCTCCTTTCCCAGAGCAGAGAGGCCCTGTCTTGCCCCAAGTCAGCCAGTGGGGAGCAGAGTGTGGAGGAGGGCTGGGGCAGCGTCCCAGGGCCGAGTGGGCCATGGCCCTGCGGCGGGAGGCGAGGAGGTCAGAGGGTCTCCTGGCTGGCAGTTAGGAACTCTTCTGCCCGCTTGTGCGCCTCCAGCGCCTTGATGGTGTACACGTCCTGGGGCAGCTCGGACTTCCGCCGGAGCAGCACTTTCTCCTTCTTGATGTCCTTCAGCATCTGTGTGTGGATGTGCAGAGGGCGGGGCATGACAACCAAGTCACCCCACCATTTTCCTCCCTAGTCCTCAGCTCTGCAGCTCCAGCCTCCTCTCCCTCCCAGGGCTGTCTTGTCTTTGTGCTCCTACCTGCACGGCCTCTGTCTCCACCGTCCTCTTCAGAAGCTGGATGTCCTCTGCCGTGGGGGTCTCAGTCTCCATCGAGTACACAGGAGGCAGAGGGGGAGGCGCTCGGAACATGGGATACTGGGAGGAACGGAGCCGGGCAAGTGGCCAGAGCCACCCGGGTGGTGTGTGACCCTGTCCGCTTCCCCACCCTCCTCAAACGTCCCTCCCCCACCCCCAGCCGGGGACCTCTCGGTGCAGGGCGATGGCAGAACCAGCTCACCTGGGGATTAAGTCGGGCCAGCTCCTCAATCTTTTGCCACATCTCTTCTCTCTCCTTCATTCGAAACCGGCCCCTGGGGTGGGAGCAAAGACAGGATTTGGATGGTCTTGAGAGAGAAGCAGGGGGGCTGGGTGTGGAAGATGAACACCCCCCGGAGAGGCTCACTTCTGCTTCTCGGCCTTGTACTGTTGCGTGCAGTCATCAAAGAGCTTCTGATTCATCTCCATAAACAGCTTCAGGGCATTGTAGATCAGCCCGTGGATTGTCCTGTGGCCAGGAAGAAAGGTAGATAAGAGGAGGCACTCCCCTTACTGTGCCAGGGCCTCAATTCACTCTCCCACGTGGTGTCTCTGCTGAGAGCTTTCCAGTGAACTCCTCCCATCCCACCAGTCTCTGCAAGCTATAAGCTCATTGCTCTGGACACATCATGTGACTTGAGACTGGCATTTCAGGCACTTGACAAATAGAGGTCTGCCTGTCCATCCTTGCCTGAATCCCACACTCCAAGAGCCCACTCTTCCCCATTACTTCCCACTCTTCCACCCAGCACTAATGGCCTCCCAGCGCACTTGCTTTTATCAGGAAAGCTTTTTTACGATGCTGGGATTTAATACATTCTAAGAGGATCACATCAGCTTCTCACAACATGGAATTAACTCTCCAAAGCTGCAGAATATCTGACCTCAAGAAAAGATGCGATAGAGGCCACTAATCTGCTGCTGGGTGGCACAGATCTCCCACGTGGGTATCTTTTCTCCCCAGTCAGTCCCTCAAGGCCCTGTTAATATGCAGTGGGCGCCAGCCCCGGCTCGCTGAAGGACCAGGTAAGACCACTGGCTCTCGAGTCCATCCCCACCCTCCCACATTCCAAAACCAGATCCTCACTGCCCAGCGCCACCCCAGCTCCCTACTTGTTCCAGTGGCTCTTGGAGTTCCTGTAGAGCGCGGGGAACATGATGGGGAGGACTCGGGCGGCATTGTCACTTATCAGGCTCATGATGTACTCGTTGTTCCAGTAATAGAGGGCACGCTCCGCCACCTGGTGGGGACCGGCGGGACTTAGTGGGGACATGGTTCACTAGGCTGAAGCCCTGCCTCGGTCTT